CCATTCCATGGTCTAGTTATTCTTGTGGAGCCGCAGCCATGGTGGCTTCATAGCTGAGAATGCATCCACCATTAAATTCAAAGCCCTATTGCATGGGATGGTGGTGGATCCTTTCTGTAATTTAAACCTCCCTGAACGTTCTCAGCCTTCTCAAGCCAGAAGTAAATTTGTTTGGGACTCGAATCCCAATTGTTTCAGGGATGGGTATTGCATTGCCCTGTGGTGGGGAAGGAGGAAGGCACCTCCATGTGCCTTAGAATGAGAGATGGGCTTACAGTTCATATCCAGATATATGTGTTGGAGGCCTTAGATTTCCAAGGTGTTTGGAGCTGAGTGTTTGGTTCAGCTGACTGCAGATATGGAGTGGGCTATGAAATTTGGATCTGGAATCTGAACTTTTTCCCAGTACATCCCCAGAACTTGGATCAGTCCAGATCCAGGGGCAGAGTCGGCGCTAGGCATAAGCAGACTAAGCAATTGCTTAGCACCCCAAGCAGCTCAAGGGGATCCCCTATTCATTATTATATGTGGTGTGTGTGTGTGTGTGTGAGGAGGAAAAATATTCCTGCTTAGGGCTCCCAATGGGCTAGTACCAGCACTGTCAGGGGTTTGGTTGGGCCCATCTCTGCTCACATGTGTGCAGGGAAAAGCCAACCGTTTGTTATTTTTTAACTACAGAAGGCAGGGGAGACTCTGGCATTTGGCTGGCACTTCATCTCTCCATTATGAAAACTTACTCTCTGGAGGTGAGGAGGGGTCTCGAGGCACTGGGTTGCTGCCTTCAGCTACTTGCTTGGGCCATAGCAGGAAAAGAGCAGTAAGGGAGCCAGCTCCCAGGTCTTCTATTGTTTGTAGAGCAGGAGCAGGTCCCATCCAGATAAATGGTCCATTGCTGTGCTGGTCTGAGCTCCGGTCTCTGCTCAGAGCCTCTAAGTGGATTGCCTTCCATCTAGCCTGGCTTTTTGGTAATTGAAAAGCTCAGAGCAGTTGGAAATGCCAGGGGGGTGGGGGGTGGTAGATACAGAACGAGATGTTCACTGGCTATGGGGACCCAAAGTAGCCAGATTCCCTGGACTCATCATTGAAATCACTTCTTATGGTGCCTCTCTGCTTTAATTTCCCCTGAATCAGCCCTCTCCCATGAGTGAAACAATCTTCACTGCAGATTGAGGGGGGTGGGAGGGATTTGAGCATTAATCTGATGTAGATTATACCTCCGCCTCCCTCTTTCTGTCCTCTCTCTCTCTCTTCCTCTTTCTCTCTCTTTCTGTTTCTCTCCCCCTCCTTCTCCTCCTGCTTCATCTTTTCAAGAAAGTGAACATAAAGTAAAAACACAGAGAGAGAGAGAGAGAGAGGCAGAGAGAAAAAGCTCCCTGAAGAGGGAAGCCCCAGCAGCCAATAGCTGTTTGGATTTGACTGGTGCTGCCTTTCTTGCTTTGCTCCCAAGGATACCTTTAATGGAATCAATTACCTCGGTTCCTTTATAACCAAGTCCATCGGAAAGGCAGACTCAACATATTATGGGCAACTGTGTGAAGTCTCCACTGAGAAACCTCTCGAAAAAGGTATGTTCCCTGAATCAAAGTGCGTTGTGCGTGTTTCAAGCCCTGCTTCTTGGGACGGATGACGTTGCGGGTAGATGGGAAGGGAAGGTGGGAGGAACATGCAGACTTGTCTGCAAAGGTTTCAGCTCCTTCCCGAAGTCCTTTTCCTAAGAGCTGTGAATGCAAATACACTGTTCAGAACCTGTGATGATGAACGCCACAGCTGGTGTGTGAATATGTGTGTAAGTATGCAAGTAGGCATGTTTGCATCTGTGTGTGTAAGTGTTTGTATGTGCATACACATGCATTTGTCCACTTGCATGTGGTGCATGTGTATGTGCACAAGCATGTGGGCACATGTTTGTGTACATATTATTTGGTTATATATGCACGTGTGAGCATGTGCACACATTTGTGTGGGTATGCACATGTGCAAGTTAAGATGTATCTGTCTATCAATGTGTGTGCATGGGAAGGTGCGGATATTTGTGTTGTTTCTCTATGTGTGTGCAGACATGCATGTGAAAATGTGGGAGCACACAAATGTATTAGCATATGTCCCTCTCTGTGTGTATGCAAATGAACACATGAATATGTGTGTTGCGTGTGTGTGCATTTCCGTGTGTATATCTGAATGTGTGTGCATACTCATTCATATGTGTGCAACATCTGTGAGTGAGGATGTGTGGGTAAGTGTATGCATGAGTGCGTGTCCACATGTATAAGTGTGTATGTGTATTTGTGCCTGCATGTGTGCATTTATTCTTGGGTGTCCTCACATATGTGTGGATCTGAGTATTTGTGTATTTGCATATTTGTATGTATCCAGGTTTGTGCATGTATTTATATATATGTGCGTGCCTGCTTTCTGTGGTATGTGTGTGCATGCCCATGTATGAGCATGTGTTTGGCCATGTTTGCTCAGGTGTGTATGTTCATGCTTTTCCTCATGTGTAAGCATGCCCATGTGTGTACACTTTCATGCCCACCCGTACTGCCATGTGTGTCTGTTTGCATTTTACTTGTGGGCTGCTGTGTGCTTAGGTCTCAGAATGGTTCAGGGATTAATTAGATTTAGGAGCTGTGCTGCCACTATGGGCTGAATTGGCAATGGGAATAGTTCTACCTGGGCACTGTGCGTATCAGGATGAGGAAGGCGTTGAGATAGAATGTGCCCATTAGGACTGCTGGAGGAAGGAATTCACTTGGGGACGCTGAACCAAATAATAATTCACCACGAAATGCTCTGCTTGTTCCTTACAAAGGGGAAGGTCATAATAGGCAATGACAATGCACCGCACTGAGGGAGCTCACAGCATGGAGGCCTCACTGGCAGTGAAATGGCATTGCTGTGAGGAAGCCATAATGAGGAGGCCTCGCGGGCAATGAACTGGCACTGCCACGAGGAAGCTCACAGTGCAGAGGTCTTACCAGCAGTGAAATGGTGCTGCTGTGAAGACACTCACTGCAGTCTGGAGTCACTGAGTACCTTGCCAGCCATGAAACGGCCCTGCCACAAGGAAGCTCACGGCGTGGAGGCCTCCCCAGCCATGGCCCTGCCACAAGGACGCTCACGGCGTGGAGGCCTCCCCAGCCATGAAATGGCCCTACCATGAGGGAGCTCACGGTGTGGAGGCCTTGCTAGCAGTGAATTTTTTCTGGCCTTGGGTTTGTCACTTTTGTGGGGCATCTCACTGCTGTAAGCTCAGCGACCACAAACAAGGCACAAGTGTAAGTTAAATCTGGAGTGTTTCCTGGTAATGACAGAGCATTGCTGTGCGGGAGGGAGCCCACCCCAGCAGCCCCAGCTGATTTATGGGGTATGTAATGAGGCAATTCATTCCAAAGCAGTTAGACAGGGCTGAGCTCTCCCTTTTGGTCAGTGTGACCCTGGGGAAGAAGCAGGAGAGGCACTTGGGGTTCAGCCAGCTGGAGTGCCTAAACTTTGCACATGTGAAAGGGCCATTCTGGCAATTTGTAGCCTGCCTCCAATGCACATAAAATGGAACAGAATGTACCTGCACTCGTCTCTAATGTGGAGATGTGGTTTGCAGAGAATACAGGTCCCAGCATGCAGCAGGCCCTGACTGCTTAGATCAAAATGGAGCATTGCATTCTGGAACTTGTAGCTTGTCTAGGCCCTACCTTTATTTGTATTTAATCCTTCATTTCTAAGAGCCATTTAAAGTGATGTATTCTGCACATAGTTCCAAAGAGTAGGAATGAAGGGGTTAAAGTTGAGGAAGCCCACAGGCCACATTATAGAACTCTGTAAGCTCCTCTTTGGCCCTTATATTAAGGCCTCAGGGCCCAGTGCTGTGAGGTGCTGAGTCCCCTACACCGCTGTTGACCTCATTGCAGCCTGGAGTCACTGAGTACCTTGCAGGATCAGACCATTACATGACATAACCTCAGACTGCTGCTCTGTATAACATTCCTCCTCTCTTCCTCAGGTTTTGACACTGGCAAAGGAGAGATGGGACATAGGCTGAGCTAGACTTTGTCAGGGAGATTTCTCCTACTCTCCCCAGCTCCACTGAGTTTTCATGTCCTGTTCTGAGACTGAGGAACCATCTTGGCTAGAATGATGCCAAGCAGGGCGCTCTTCTTGCTGGTCTCCTCCATTTGTTCCTTCCAAATGCGGCCTGTCGAGTGGAAGCAGAGACTTTAACGTGACTAGGAGAACAGGGTTAGGAACCTGGAGGCCTCTTGCTTTTGATAAACCTCCCTCAGGGAGAGGAAGGATGGATTTTGCATGACAGAGATGCTGCCTCCTGCACTTCTTTGAACATGGGGGGAGGGCATCGTTTCAAATTGAGGCAAGAGGGTAGAAGAGCCTCAGATAATCATCTGTCACCCAAACACTTTCCCTAGCAGCTTCTCTCACTGCAGTGTTCCCAGCACTCTTTATTGTGGAGGCTGTGTATATATGAGAGAGGAACTCTACACAGACAAACTGAGACTTCCCTGAGTAGCTTAGACAGAGGAGGAAGCCCTGGAAATAGTGGATATGAAGTGTCCTGAGAGAGCAGGGAACGGGCTCACTTTGAACTCTGGCAGACAAGACAGAATGTTCAGAATAATCTGGAGGGACGGGATGGCTCGGGGGATATGGTTTGGGACTGGTGTATGGACCTTTTCACCTCCACCTCCCTGGTTCACATCCATCTCTAGTTGATCGTGATCAAAATTCATTCCCGTCCAGTCTCTTGTTGGTAGCCCCCTATTTTGTGCAGAGTGCACCAGTGTCCCCACAGCAGTAAACACTACTGTCACGACACTAATTGACAGTCTCAGCAGAGGCACCTAGGTGTAAATGGGATAAATCTCAGTACTCCGCAGTGTCCCTCGGGGTCAGGACTGAGGCACATTGGCAGGGGAATGTGGGGAAGCCTGCTCTGCTTCTGCCTCTACAGTGGCTAAATAAAAAGCTTCATTCTCCAAGTCACTCAGTTTGGCACCTTTTGCCAGCTCTACAGCCGCCTCTCTGGAGGAGCCCGGCCAAGTGCTTGTATCATCCCAGAACAGCTGTGGGTTTTTATTGGGGAGGGGAGGGAAGAAGGGCTTGAGCCTTCCTCACGATTACCTTGCTTCTATTAGTACTCAGGTCTGCGTGTTGCTGCTTCTGCCACGAACAGGTGGCTGGCCTCATTTTGCCTTGTATCCCTCTGTTGGAGGAGCTGTCTCCTCTGCTTTGGCTTGATGTGTTTATGGGACACATGAGGGAAGGGAGACTTTCCAGCACCAGATTGGGGTGGGGGGCGCAAATGGACAGCAACAGCAACCGGTGCTTTGTTAGGGCAGTTCTCGGTGAGCCCTGTAAATGACCCTGGGTCACTAGAGGCAGATGGGCGAGGGGAGACTCACATGGTGTTACACTAGGATAAAGAAGTCCCATTCCCTTTCCCTGCACTACCTGTGGTTCTATGGATCAGCCTGTTCTGTGTCCTTGGCAATTCTCTCCTCAGACTTGTGATTTCTGTCCACATAGGAAAATAATGGGCTAATCTCATCCTTCGTGGAACTCCACTGACTTCATAATAAGATCGAGAGACTAGGTGGCTCAGATAGGGATTAGGAATAGGTTTTGGAACCTTTCACCTTTCATTTGGTTTCAGTGAATTACCCCTGTGACAGATTTGGCCTGACGTATATATTTTCAGTCTCTCATATTATATATTGAAAAAGACTCTGGAAAATAAAGCTGGTGATTTACAAAATATGTTGTACCAAAGTGACAAATGTTCACGTCATTATCACACAAATGTCAAGACAATTAGCTGCGCCCGTGATATGCCAGGTGTGGATTGACGTTAGTCTTTTATGTTTGTATAGATAAATTCCCCATCCACCATGTATAATCAGGTGAAGGGTTTCCTTCCCATCTGTGATTTCAATTAGAACCCTGTTATGCTATTTCCTTTCTTTTGTGATTTTTGTGTGTGTGTTATATTGGTCTTGGTGCTTTTGGTGGATAGTCACATGACATTATACATGAGCAGATTGTCTCAAGACTGTGTTTAAAAATGTAAACTACAAAGCATGTGTGCAATGGAGTAACATATGGCAGACGCAGCAAATAGCTACAATAAATGTGAGCAAGTGTGAGTGGGGAGCAAATGTGGCCTGCTTCTCAGCCCTGAAAGAAGTTGTTCAAGATTTGAAGGATGAGTCAATATAAAAAGACAATGGCTGCGGACAAAGTCTCCCAGATGAACTCTGGGAATGCCATCAGTACAAGCAGGCGCTCATTCCTGAAGCAGAAATATGATTGTTAATATTTACTGTATAAAACCAAAGGTCCTGTGGGTAGTGCTGGCTTTTTATAGCTGCATGGGAATACCAGGATGAGACGTTTCCGCCAGAGCCAGAGAAAAGCATTTCTATATAAGGAAAGCATTGGCTCCTCAGTGGAGCCTGGAGCTCCAACCTCAGATTCTATTCTGGAGTCCCAACTGGCTGGGATGTGTGGACTCCTTGAGAATGGTCTGTGAAAATGCAGAGCAGACAAGGCTGCAAGGACTGGGACTGTAAGTCACCTGAATAGATTACATTTTCATAGGCTCGGTCAGTTATTGTAACTAATTAGAATTGTAATTGTCTGGAACCCAGCTCGCTGACACTGTAAACGGCCGTCTGACAGTTTTAGTATGACTGTGGTACAGGTGTTAATACAGAGCTCTAAGCTGTTGAACTGTGTTGCCTGAAAGTGACTTGAAGCCAAACTTAGTCTCTCTGTGCAGGTTCTGTGCCTGCTGTTCAGTGGAGGTCCCTGACGGAAGCTTCTCTCCCAGTAATCTCCTTCTGTACACACACAGACTGTTATGTCTGAGCGTGCTATTCCCTTGCAGGCCACACATGAAATCATTCACTCTGGGGCTGGAGATGGGAGGGACCGGACATGTTCATTTTCTATCCTGGCCCTTTCATCTGTAGCTGGAGGGATGTGTGCAGCTTTGAGAAAGTTTGATGTAATTTCAAAGTGAAATCTTCCTGGTTGGCTGGACTTTTATCAGCCATTGACAGTGAACTCCTGTACCTACTACTTCTATACAAGCCTGTACTACTAGACTGGTGGGAGGGACCCAGCATGGAAAGATGAAGGAAATTTAGGGCTAATTACTCTGTCAGGCAGCCCAGTAAAACATCAGATCAAAGACTGAGAGACATGGGGAGGTAACTTCCTCTGTTGTATTGTTTACTTGCTGCTGATTGGCTGGGAAGATTCGTCATGAGGAGAAGACCTGCTATAAGGCTGTTCAGACGAGTGAAGAGGGACCGTCAGCCTGCGAGTACCAAGGTCCACTCATGATGCTGGCCCAGAACTGCGCCGTCATGCACAACCTCCTGGGGCCAGCATGCATCTTCCTGAGGAAGGGCTTCGCAGAAAACAGGCAGCCTGTACGTAAGTTACACCCTGCTGGGCGAGAAATATACAAAACACAATGCCCACATTGCCACAAACGGGTAGCCACACATGTTGCCTACGTACATGGGACTCTGAGATCCCCCAGCGACGGGTCACAAACCTACAGCCTCAGACCTGCAAATGCACTTACAGACTCACATACATGCTCAGGCATGTGAACTGGAAGATATGCGGAGATACCCTGGCACCTAGGTAGTAGGCATTGTAGAAATACGTATACAGATGGATAGATCAGTCGACTGAAACACTCACAGTCATACGGACTCAGATATACCTGAGGAGTCCAATGTTCAAATATGACACTCCAGTGAGACATCAACATCCCATACATGGAGGCTCAGATTAGTACGTAGAGCCTAAATGGCCGCTATATGTGCTTCACTGGATTTGACTGTCCCATCAAGGTGCCCACATTTGAAGCATACTCAAATATGGCCTGAGATGCATACCCCTCCACATTCACACAAGCTCAGATTCCTACACACATCCATGCACAGTCTCATGTCTGCACAGGAGAACACATACATGCAAACCTCAAAATAGCTACCTGTTCACACACCTTCAAATAGCAATGCACAAACAAGTATCACTACCTATATACCCACTAATATACAGCACACACCTATATTTATATTTCTATCCATCCAAGCATATATATGCATACATACACATCCATTCCTGCAACCTTAAAATATGCAAAAATATATACACAGACATGTCAAATGTACATAGAGACATGTTTACATAATGTACATTCACAGTAACATAAAGCACATATCCCTGTACGCAAACATTTAATATCTATACTAACGTACTTAAACACATATACAGAGACACCATATTATTAACACATATATAGGCATATATGTGACTAGGTGTACACCCTTGCATACACTCATCCAGTACATTACATGCTCCTCCAGTCAAACAAAGCTCATCCTCAATGTCTGAGATTCATGGCAGTTAAAATCCAGTTGTCAGGCATCCCTCCACAATAAATCTCTGTTCTATATACTCACACGCAAAGACACACTTGTCCTTAGCTGGAATAGAATCAAGGACCTTTAGTTCCAAAACCTAATCCCTTTCCATTTGAGCTGAAGACAAGTCACCATTTGTTATTGCTCACTGTAAGTTTTTGTTCTCTGCAGCCTCCAACCACTAGCAGACAATCGCATATTCCATTAGCCAGTACATTAAAACACATGCAGAAATATTCTCAAGCAAGTGCACACACACATATGTATATACTGGCACACAAACATCTACCAAATCATATGTGCTTATATAAAGAACTGGATCCAAATTCCATTTAGAATGTCAATAGCTGGCAGGTGACTATATCCACCATGTTCAGAGCCTGGAAATTCATAATATCCCAGGAGGCTCCAAAGGGAGGAGCACAGACATCTCTGACAACAGCCCTGGTGCGGAGTGAATGTATTTATAAACAGCTGTTCTCCTCATTGGCTCTTTAGACCAGCAGGATTTTGTGTGCATAGGACAGAAATAAATTAATGCCAGAAAGTTTCTTATGATGGAGTGGTTGATGATCACCTCTAGTGTATTCCTAGGACCTGAGCTCTTTGAACAGGTGTATCCCTTTTTCCATATGTTCTCCTCAGAAAGCTTTACACTGCTTCAGCTGATTTCTTCTTAAGCAGATGTTTTCCTATTTAATAATTTTTAAGGGAGCTTCCTTGGACTTTAAAACAGAAAATCTCCTTATGACACCAGTTACAGTTTGGGCTAGATTTTCCAAGGGACCTGGAGTGGCCTCTTCTTTTGCACATACAGTCTTTGGCTTCCTCCAATGATAGAATCTACACACACAAAGAAGTGCTCACATCTCTGCACATGCAGATGCCTCTATGTGCAAAAATAGAAGCCAGGCTGAAGAAGTCTTGAGACTTTCTCTTGGACATTCTGGTGTGTTAATGATGCTGGCTATAACGGGGTACAGCATGATCTAGTGGTTAAAGCACAGGCCTAGATGGCAGGAGACCTGTGTTCTCAGCCAGATGCTGCCACAGATGCAGTGAGTAACCTTGCATGAGTCAATTCACTGTTCTGTAAAATGGAGTTGATGATGATACCTCTATATCTTGAACATTCCTGATCAGACTGGTGGTGCTCAAGAAGGACTCCTGAGGTCATTAAAGTTCATAAAGAGCTTGGAGACTCTTGGCTGGAGATATGCGAACAGTGCTTAATTTGTAATGAAAGAGGTGCCGGGCCTCAAGCAATTTTTTTACTTTCATAACTGATGCGGCTATGAACTGCCCAGCCCAGAGATACTGGGGTTATGAACTGCCCAGCCCAGAGATACCGAGGCTATGAACTGCCCAGCCCAGAGGTGCTGGGGCTCAGCCCTGGCAAGCTCTGGCACAGATTAAACCCTGTGTTACTGTAATTCATGATAATATCACTGATAGGAAGGCAATGAGGCCTCCTGTGCCTGCTTTAAACAGTGTGAACTCTTTTACAAATCAGTGTCTATGAAAGCAGAAGAAATGGGATGACATGTTTGAAATGACCAGATCTGTGAAGGATGAAACTGCAGAGCTAGAGCTCTCTGAAAGTTCCATGCAGCACAGAGATGCCTCTGGGAAGGTTATGAATGACAAGCTGATAATTTCTCTGGCACAGCCCCTTTTTGCACAGACGTAAACCAGTGTGTGTCCTAGTTTGCTGTATTCTCCGGGCAGCCACCGCTAGAGTTACCACAGAAGCCTGCGGTTAATTAGCAAGAGCTCATCCTTATGAAACAGATCAAGGGCACAGTCTCCAGGGACCTGTGGTGAGGCTGCAGACCCCTGGGAGATGAGGGGAGAAGCCAGAACTCAGACAAGAAGGGAAATTTTGTCTCGGTTTCCAAATTCTCAGATATTCTGGATTTGCCTGGGAGCCATGAGTGGAGTTAGAAGGGGTTTTTAGTAACCAGAAAGCAGTGCATTTCCACACTCATCTTTTCTTCCTCTTGATGCAGTCTCTGGAGTTTTCCTATACTCTTTTACATCCCTCCCCTCTCTGAAAAAATCAAACCAAATTAGATGTTTGAAGTTGCAGTGTTTCCTGATCATGGTGAATCCTTGTCCTGTTTTGTTTGTAGATGACCTTGCTGCTGTATGTTTTTGTTTCTCTGCCTACATGCTTGGGTTTGAAATGTTTGTATCTGGGCTGAGCTCACTGCTTCTATAGTTGCAGTCCCTCCCTACAGGAGTGGCTCTAGGGAATAGGATTGAGAGAGCTCATGGCTGCTCTCCCTCCCAGCAGCAATCACTATAGGCTTGCTGGTTGTGGGGCAGCTCGCAGCTATTTCCAGACCCAGACGTTCCCAGCAGGAGTTGCTGTAGGGAATACGGTAAGAGCTTCAGAGGAGCTCCGAACTACAGCAGTGCCAGACTCTGCCACTCAGAGTCACTGTAGGGGAATGATACAGGCACACGGTGGAGGCTCTCAGTGCCAGCTCATCCATCTGAAGTGGAGTGCTGGAGTCCCTTTGAGAAGCCTGTGTTGCCCTGGACCTTAGGTGTGGAACAACACTTCTATTTGGCCACCTGGCCAGCAGGCGAAATGGAGATGGGCTTCCACAGAGAAGTATGCAGGCAGCTGCTGGCACCCTCCTAATAGGAAAGGGAGTGATGTCAAAGCCTTACCAGGTAGATAGGATTAAACATGTCATCACCTTCTTGTTTCTTCTGTCACTTTCTTGCTTGTGCGTGATGCTCCCAAACCTGCCTGTACTCATAAGTGCTATTCTGATACCACTTTCCTATCAAATGGTTGGGTTTAACAGAAGATGTTCTCTCATTGCAGGACAGAGAACTGCGACCAGAAGAAATTGAAGGTAAAACTTTGACCCTTCCTCCATATCTCACTTTCTCTCTGCTCAGTGAAAATATACTGCTGGCCAGACTGATCACAGCGGGGAGAAATCTGGGGTAAAACTAGGTAGATGAGCTCATAGCTGTTCCCATTCTAGATACTCCCTGCAGAAGATATCATAGGGAACGGTGCAGAAGTGCTGACTTTGGGGCAGCTCACATGCACTCCATCTCCTGACAGAGGGGCTGTAGATTGTAGTGTTGTAGTGATGATTTTGGGGGAGATCACATTTGCTCCATCTCCTGCAGGAGGGCTGTAGAACATAGTGTAGGAGTGCTGACTATCTGACCATTCAAAGACTCTGCAATCTGAGCAGGGACTGCTGTGGGGAATGGTGCAGAAATGCTAGCAGGGTGGAGCTCAGAGCTCCTCCAGTTCTAGCTTCTCTCCGGGGAATCTGCAGGGGGAATGTGCACCTTCCTAGCATCCCAGAGTGCTGCTGACTCCTTGGGGGGTGTTCTGGGAACTGTATCTAACACCATCACTGACAACATTGTCCTTATTGGATTCACCCTGACAGAGTTAAGAGAAGCCTTCAAGGAGTTTGATAAAGACAAGGATGGGTTTATCAACTGCAGGGACCTGGGGAACTGCATGCGGACCATGGGCTACATGCCTACCGAGATGGAGCTCATAGAGCTATCCCAGCAGATCAACATGAATTGTGAGTGTGACCCCTCACTTGCATGTTCCCCTGTCACTGCCATTCTCCGCCTCCGTACGCTGGGCTTTAGCTGTCAGTCTCTTGCTCTCATCTGTTCCTCTTCCTTTGTTCTCCTGCCTGCCTGCCTGCCTGCCTGTCTGTCACCCACTCTCTCTGCTAGTCCATCTGTCTGTTTGACTAGTTCTCTGGGCATCAGTTTGCTTGTCTCCAGCCTACCAACCTATCTGGGTTTGTAGATAGTTGTGAGGTATAAAAGCAATGTGTTGAGACAAACACACCAACATAGGACTGCCCTTGGTGTTGCCGTTGATATGGGTGTTTAAGACATTGGTGTGCAGCTGCTGCATGTTGTTGTATTGAACCTGGTCTCTAGGCGGTGTGTGCTGAGGAGGGAGACTGGGTGTTGAGAGGAGGGAGATCCTTTGGTGTGAGGGTGGGGCTATGTTGGAGCAGAGTGCTGGGGTGTTTAGCTCGAGGTGTGAGTGTATTGAGGAGATAGCTCTGGTGTGTGGGGAGTGATGGGCTGAGGGGCTACCCTCTGTCCATCTGCTGTCACATGAAAGGTGGAATAATGGGAAAGTGTCTGTGATCGGATATGGCTGTATTTGTGTCCTTTCCTTCTATCGTCAGTTCTTTGTCCTTACACCTGTCTGCAGCAGTGCTGTATGGTGCCCACAGGAATATTCACTAGGCATTATTTGTTGTACTCCCTGGGCTAGAAACTGTTAATCATCCAGAGAGGGAGCAGAATGAGTACCATGTGAAAATAACACATAACAAATAGCAGAGAACCAGGGCACTGGTTGCCATGTGATCCACAGGCTGTATAACTAGGTCAGGCGGTCTGGTGATCTACAGGCTGTATAATTAGGTCAGTCTGGTGATCTGACAGACAGGTAGGAACTTGAGGAACTCCTCACCAATTGCAGCTACTTCATAAACAGGAAAATGCATTAATTTGTTGAATACACTGTTTGTTACAAATAGCTTGTCCAGCTGTGGTGTTGAGCTTCTGGGACAGATTTTCTCCCCTGCTCCAGTGCAGTATAGGGCCCATACAGGAGATGTAACTGGCTGAGGCAGAATTCCCTCTGTTCAGACACACCTGCAGGGCTGCCATGTGCTTGCCCGCTCACAAGCCCTGAGGGACGATGTATGCTGGGAACAGATCCATAGCACACAGTGATGTGGGGATTCTGAGGTGCCTGCTGCCCATAGGCAGCCTGGGATGGGCCGCTGTAATTTAGAGGAGCTGGGACCCTTTCAGACCCGTCCAGAATCCAAAGGGTGCAAAGATGGTGTAAAGCCACCTTTGCTTCTCCTCCCCCTGAACTTCACTCTCTGTGCTGTGCCTCCTGGAGAGTCAGACCCTGACCCTCCCATGGGTGGCTGATCTCCAGTGGAAGCCATGTGTGGATGTGTTACCTTGGGTGCTCGGCTGGGCTAAGGAAAAGGGCGTATTAATGTCTTACACAAAAATTTCCCCTTGGTCCCAAGTGGGCGGTCATGTGGATTTTGAAGATTTTGTGGAGCTGATGGGACCAAAGCTTTTGGCAGAAACTGCAGATATGATTGGTGTAAAGGAGCTACGTGATGCCTTCAGAGAGGTGAGCGCCCCCCGTTCTGCGGGACCCCCTCAGAGAGGTGAGCGCCCCCCGTGCTGCGGGACCCCTTCAGAGAGATGAGCGCCCCCTCTCATGTAGTAAAAGTGGAGAGAAGGGGAGAGCAGAGGCAGGAAAGAGAGAAGATCAGTGGGGGAATGAGGAGGAGGAGCGAGCATATACAGTAAAGAGGACCCTGAGAAGGAAAGAAGAGAAACCAAGTATGGAAAGGAGGGGAGCACAAGGAGTGCAAAGGCCTGACAGGGAACAAAGGAGGAAGATGAGCCAAGCACAGCGATGATGTATGGAGTCTGTGAGGAGAGGAAAAGGACCTGAGGGAACAGAGTGGCATCAGAGCAGGAGGAGAGAAGATGCCTAAGGAAGGAAAGAGAGAGCCAAGAGGGACTCAGGGGACCTCATGGACAAATATGTGCAGTCAGGAGGGGAAAACATGGGACCCAAGTCTGGAGACTGTAGGTACCCAAGAAAGCAAGTCAGGGTCCACTCCAGCTGACTGTGCTCTTTCTGCTGTTGTTTGTGGTCTCCCTGCAGTTTGACACCAATGGTGATGGAGAGATCAGTACCAGTGAGCTGCGGGAGGCCATGAAGAAGCTGCTGGGGCAGCAGGTGGGCCATCGGGATATTGAAGAGATCATCCGAGATGTGGACCTGAACGGAGATGGGCACGTGGATTTTGAAGGTGAGAGAGAATGCGCTACTGTCCATCTTCACGGGGGTCAGGCAGGATTTCAGATCAGAGACTGGGTCATTGCCCTGCTCCAGGAATGGAGGAAGGAAAATGATCTCTATGCTCTAAGAGGCCCAGGTATCTGTGGAATGGGGTGAGAGGCAGCTGGATCAGAATCTCCTGGGATTCTCCCTAGTTAGGATAAGGCTACTGGGGGAGAGATGGCTGGTGTAGGAAATTCCTGGTTAGTGGTGTCTGCTGTACAACTCTTCTCAATGCATCTCAGTGTTAAGCATGCCTCCATGGATCACATACTAGACAGACTGTCCCTATGTCAGAGGAGAAACTTCTCTGTGGCCATGTGCAGCCCAATGGTGGATTTCTGTTTCCTCCCCAGTGCCCCCTGGTACATACGCAGGCGGCTAGCCTGAGCTGCTACCCATGCTGCCGTGGCCACACTGCTATTTTAGTGTGCTAGCCCGAGCAGAGCTAGTGCATTTACATTTATTCAAGTTGGGAATCACATCTGCCAGCTGCTGTGTAGACATACTGTGTCAGTGTCCAGCAAAGAGTTTAGTGTGGAAATGAGACATTACATTGTTCTAGGGCAGGTGTCCCAAATTATGAACTGCCCTGGCTAGTGGGATCCTTTAACACGTTGCATAAACTCTCCAATGTCAGTAAAGAAATCAAACTAGTGAGCAGTGTGGATGGGGCTTTCCTGTTGGCTGCATAGTGTCTCAGGATGATGAGAGTTGGGATGGGAATGTGTTGGTACAGTTGGTGTATTCTCCTCTAGCCTCTCTGTTTGTCAATGGCTGCAGAGTTTGTTAGGATGATGTCCCGTTGAAGATTACGCTCATCTGAAGAGGAACCAGCACCTCAGTGAGGGCAGAAGAGACCTGAGTGGAGCATCTAGCCCTGATGTTCCCATGCAAAGGTTTATAGGCTGGATGCATTTGAGAGAGTGCGAGATGACCTGCCTCTCCTGCCCCAAAGTGGTCCCCACACTCCTCCACCCTTTCACACTGTGAAAGACTCATGATGTCCTATAACTGGAACTGTTCCTTCAAGAAGGCGACAGCAGGTAACTGCAGCGCCAGGACAAGCCACGATGTTTTCATGAGATGTTTGCAACTTTAGACTCCTCCCCTCCTGCTTTTATTCTCCCACCGACTGCTGCAAAGCAAGAGAAGAGGGAGCCTCTTGGATTGGGGGATGAAAGCAAAGCCATCTGGGATTGATGGCTGCAGCAGGTCGCGCTCTGCACCTGTTGGATTCCCTTGGTGAACTGTGTCCGTGTTTGCTGTGTGTCTGTCTGGAGTTATTTATGCCTCCCTGGTACATTCTCGTGTCTTCTGTGGTTACGTTTACCGAGAGCAACTACAAAAACATGTCTGGAAAAAAAAAAGTGATAAATGTGCAAACTGAAGCTGTGTGTGCAGCCCTGGCCTTTCTGTGGGAGGTGAAGGGCGGGCTGGAGGGAGGAGCATCTGCCAACTGATCCACTCCAACCAGAGTACTTTGGGACCCATGTTGTGGCTGGGGGGATGAGCTGGAGCCAGGGGAGGTAGGTGCTGCTTGTTGCAGGATTGGTGATTGGGTGCTCTTCAGGGTGAGTGATACCTCCAGCCATTCTAGCCACAGGCAGCGTAATACAAACACAAGATATACACACTGCCAGGTACGAAAGACTTAATGGGCTAAATTCCTCCTTGCTGGAAATCCCCTTAAGTTAGTGGAGTTACACCAGGGATTACAGTGTCCGAGGCTATACGGTCATCCAGAATACAGAGACTCTGTCTGTCTGTTGCCTACTAAGAAGTGCACCCTAGAACACAGTGATGTGTGTGTGCAGACAGTGTGTGTATGCAGTGCATAGATACTGCTGTGATGAGCACAGTACAGAACCCTAGCTAGTTATATATGCATGGGTATGATGGGAGTGTATGTGTGCATGCAATGGGAGTGTTTGTACAGGCATGTCCCTAAGCAACGGGAGTGTGTGTGCTTGCATGTCCTTTGTGTGTGTGTGTGCAATGGGAATGTGTGAAGTGATGGAACAGCGTGTGTATGTGTGAGTGATGAGAGGGAGTGTGCATGGATGCCCCTGTGTATACGTGTGATGGGAATGCCTGCATAGGTGTTGAGTGATAGGAACTTGATGCTTGTGTGTGTGATAAGTGTACACGCACATGGCATACTGAGCAATAGGAACATTGCAGGTGTGTGTGTGTGATGGGAATGAGTTTGCATGAGTGTGGCCACTGGATGAATGGGTAAAATAGTCACAGTAACTGTCTCTTTGGCTGCCTGCTTGCTGCCTGCTTCTGCACTGAGGCTCCTCTGCCTGCAGCAACAGATGGTGGGACATTGTCTTAATTTATTTAAAAACATAAGCCCATTCATGGAGGTTGCACAGAGTCCAAATTGCACAGGATTCCCCAGAATGCATAATCTCACTCACTGGGCACATTCTCTGCTCATTAGTGCTGCTGGGGGCTTACAAATAATCACATATGCTTAGAGTAACCCTGCCAAAGCATCAGTCTCTGAGATGCAGGTGCAGTGCATGTGTTGGGGGGAAGGGTGCTCTGACAGATGGAAGGTAGGGAGGTGCCTTTCCTGTCTGGTGATGGCGGAGATTGGAGGCTTTCTCTCTCTGATCTGGGGCTGTCCGGAAGAAAAGAATATCACTAAACACAATTTCACCTGTGAATCTTGAGTCCAGCTCTGCCGTATGGAGCCACTTGCGCCATGGATTGCATCAGGGTACAGCTGTGCTGCATGACAAGGCTGTAGTTGGGCTAGAGTAGACACGAAAGCCCAAGGTATCTGTTGAGGAAAGTCTTGGCATCCCCCATAAACCCACTAGCTCCTCACTGCAGGATCAGCCGCATGGTAGGTCAGAGAGGGCCGGTCTGAATGCATGCAGTACTTGCTGTTGGATCCAGCAGAATCTCTTCCTCCCAGGGATGGTTTTATTTCCCTATGCAACCTCGAATAATCCCAGGGAGTTTTGCTATTTTTTTTTGTGCTGACAGGGTCAGAGATTAAATCTTCAATCTAATAATCTCATTCCAGGGATAATCCTTTTGCTTTCATCTCCCAGCCAGTGCCAGGAAGGCTTCCAAATAGCCCTGAAGGACAATATGGAACAAGCAAGGCTCCGTCTGTCTCCCTTCTCTCTTTCTTGCCGTCGCCCTGTGCTCATCAGGACAAGGCCTCAGGCTACTGTCTCTAAGTGTTTTTGTCCTTAGCTGAGTGTGACCATGTTGCTCCTCAAGATAGCACCATCCTGTTTCAGTCTATCATGTTCACTGAGCCCTGGTTCTGCCTCCCATCCATGGGTCTCTATTCTCTGTTTTAGCCACCCTGACTACTGATAATTCCTATGGATAATATAGCCTGTAACCTCCCTCCACAGTAAATGACTGGTGCCTTAAGAGGACTAATTGAAGGCACCATCCATGCAGAATAAATACAGGCCCAACACATGAATTAATCTAATTTCAGTGCTGCTTCTAGAGGATGGGGACAGCTCCAGGGATTGGGAAGAAGACACCGGGCCTTTCACTTGAAGGTTACAAGTGTAAACCCAGCGTGGGTCAGAGGACTGGCTGGTTTAGCAGATTAGTAACAAGATACAGAGCCTTTTGTGTCTATAGCACCAGCTCCCATCAATTGGTAGTGTCTGAATGTTACGGACAATGTCAGTGGCCTATTGCAGGTGGGGATGGGATGGTCTCAGTCCTCGTTAGTGAAAGCTGGGTTCCACGACCCACCTGACAGTGGCAGCAGAGGGACCGAGAACTGAATCATGGAGGCTGAACGCCCCTCTTGCAACTAGACCTACCTCCCGGGCCCCCACCTCTTTTGCCACTTCGGATGTTAAGCAAGCCTGCTACTCAGTGAATAATAAGCAATCTGGCTGGCACAGAGGAAGATACTCTCTTAACTGGAGAGATAAGTGTGGTGTTGGGGAGGGGAGAGACAACAATATGCCACTTTCCCTTTCTCCTGTTCATAGCAGGGACATGTGACCCTTTCCAAGCCAGCTGAGTCTTAGAATTGAAAGGCAGCAGAAGAGATAAAGAGGCCAGCCCATCAGGAGGAGCACCTCCCTCTGAGACAGGAAGGAAGGAGGTCCAAGGTCAGTGTCAGAGGAAGGGATGCCCCCTGTGTGATATGCGACCAGGCAGGGTGCGATGGCCCAGGTTTGCTCATTCAATCCCATAGGAAGCTGAAGTGGGCCTGATACAGAAAAGCACCAGAGGCCAGCCATTAGGTCCCTGTATAATCTCCAAGCAACCCCAATGAAAACGCTCTTCACCACCAACTGTGCAATCCCGAGCGACACATACCAGCCCTCAGTGCAGCAGCAGGTGCATTAGGTTTAGGATGGCAGTGGCTGCCCCTCCTCCAGACAACCCCTCCGTAGTTGTAGTTCAGCGAGCCCCTTCCTGGGTCACAAGACAGAACAATAGGCCAGGAGGAGCTCCCAGCATGCAGTGTAACCTTCTGCTTGGACTGAACGAAGCAAGGCACGGTGATCTGTGTGTCTCTATGGGCTGCACCTCAGGACTACAGATGAAAGTGAAGAACCTGTGAGGTAAGGGCTGTGCTTGAGCGACCCCTTCATAAAGCACAGCCCAGCTCCAGGCCCCCTTTCCGTGTCCCTCCTGGGCAAAGGTTGCCCCACCTTGACATGGGCTGGCCAACTGCTCAGGTTTGTCATGGCTGAGCGATGTCAGCCAGCAAGGCCCCTCACCAGCGGTGCTGCCAGGTCTTGCCATGGCATGCCCCCCAGCGAGGGGATTCTGGCTGGGCTGAAGCCTGGCTGGAGATGAGGCAAAAAGCTCCAGGCCGCTAACAAGATTGAGCCTTGCCTGAGGGACTGAGCCCAGCCCCCCGATTGGCTATCTGCCCCCCTTACTTGCCTCCTGGGGCCCAGCAACAGTCAGAGCTGCTGTAGGAAGAGCTTCCTCAGCTACCCAGAAGCAACTCTCGCAAGAGGAGGGCAGGGAGTAGCAAGAGCTCAGCAGCTCTGCTCCCTCCTGTGAGCAGTGGGGACAGCCCTCTACTCTGCCCCTGCAACACTCAGCCTGGGGAGGGGCAGGGGTACAGAAGAGTTCCCGCTGCAGCCTCTCCCAGGTGTATGTGGGGGGGAGGTGAAGGACCCAGCAGGAGCAAAGGTGAGGCTGGGGGGGCTGAACTGATGGAGGTGGGGGATGTGCTCAACTGAGGAGGGCTGAACTTATGGGGCAGAACTGAAGGGGAAGCTGGGGGGGTAGAACTGATGAGGGGATTGGTTTGGAGGTTGGGAGGCACCAGTAATTGCTGGGCAGGAGACGGGCAGATGTGGGTGTGAGCACTTCTCCAGCAGGGGTCAAAATCACATTTCCCAGTAAAATTGGGACAGTGGACAACACTAATTGTCACACACACATGCAGGGGGTGGGCAAGGGGAGTTCAAAAATCAAAAGACTGACCAAAAACCACAATATACATTTTTTTTAAATCTCATGATTTTTTGGGGTCTGATTCATGATTTTTGATCGCTGGAGGTTGGCCAGTCAGAGGGTTTTTCAGCCACTTCTGATCATAACTGATAACGGCCAACATGTGTATACATGCTTTTGGCACTGACCACCCCTGGGGACCCCAAAGTGCTTTATAAACTTTAGACTCACAGCACCACCAAAATGCAGCCACCTAGGGCAGCGGGAAGGAATTTCAGCTAACGAAGCAGAGGCAATCTCTCTACTGCCACCAAAGTGCCAGGGGAACGTTAATGACCATGCACAGTGGAGAAGGGCTCTGCTTTGAAGGTGCTTTGATCTGAAGTCCCCCACACAGTAAAATATCTCGTGCTCAGTGTATATCCCTCACTAGGATCTCAGGGCTCAGTTGATCCTGTATGGACTTGAACCCATGGCAAGATTAGCTTGAACCTGGAGTTTATATCTCAAAACCATCCCCTTCCTTTTCATGGGTGTTTTACAGACAGGCTATTCTTGTTCATCCTCCCCTTGGCCATTTTATTTCCCTTTTCTAGCTAATGACTCATTATAGTAACTTGTGACATACAAAGAATTTAAGTGCTTAGAAGCTGTGCTGCTGACCCAAGCTTCTCACAGCTTAAACTGAGAAATCTTGAGGGATTAGTGAGGATCGGCTGTAATCGGTATAAATGAGCCTAACGAGGCCTCCCTCTGCCCTGCCAACAGAATGGCATTCTTCCAGGACAGGCTGCTTTCACTCTCTGCTAATTGAATTTGGGGGACACCCAGCAGGTCACAGGCACAGCAGGGAGATTAGACTGGGTTTAATCCATCCAGGCACTGGGTCTGTCTGAGCTAGGGGGTGATGCCATTGCCACCTAAGTAACT